TTCATCAGAGCCGTCAAACATACTTATTCGACAAAGATTGCGACACGAAATGCAGAAGAAAGAAGGGCAAGCGTACCTGGCACGAAAATTTTGCAGAGAGTGCTATAAAAAAATGTTAAACAGTCAGGATCAAAAATAGCTAAGAATCGGACCAAAAAGGTGACCACCTATTGTCCAAATTGTATCGATAAGCCACATTTATGTTTAAAGTGTTTCAACACAGTGCACCGTTAGATGCAAGGTTCTCATTTCTCTTTTATTGATATTCTAATAAAAATGTTTAATTGTCCAATGGGGCACCTTTTATTTCAAAGTATCTTCTATTTATCGGTTATATTGAAAATGCCCTAACTGTCAATTTTCATACAATTTTTACAATTGTAAGAAGTTCAAGCGCTCCGATCACCAATGACCACTGTGACGTCACAGGGGAAACCGTGGCTGGTCATATACGACCAACGTGGCAGTCAAAGTGTTAAGGGTTAAAAAGATGGTCGAAGAGGGCGGTAATCATTTTCGACGGAATGGATCTCGCAAGCGAGCAGCCGACCCGTGTGTTTCGTGCCGCGGCTCGGCACATAGGAGAAGAAGGGTAATTGAAAATGTAAATGCCTGGCGAATTAACGATCCGAATTGGAGGTACTCGGAGAGGGCGGGCGGCCCGGGTTGGACGTGCGCGGTGTTCGATGATAATCCGCGGATACCGACGCCGGTGGTACTGGTTCTGTGCGGATAAACGATTGCCAATTACGGAGGTGATAAATTCCGGCGGCACAAATCGCCGGTTATGCGCTATCGCAGCCGTATACTATGTGCACGCCCGTAATAATTAAGCGATGAACGGAGGAACGGACGATAGGACGATCCGGCGCACACTAGGCTCCAGATACTATGGAATCGATTACGGGTATCGATAGATTGCGATCGACGATCCCCGAGAAACCGACTTGGGTGTTCAAAGGATGCGTTCGGTAACCTTGAATGTAACTTGCGGAACACGTTGTTGCGATTGTTGATTAGAGAATGGTTGCGGAGAAAATGAATGTGGGCAGTTTGTTGGGTTTAGATCTGTACGATTGTGGGAAGCATTCTTCATTTAGTTAATTCGAGGTTGTAGGTATATTGTGAATAGCTTCTCTTCTGAATAGATAATTTTGTCTGTAAGGAAATTTTGTCAACGGTTATTGATACAAAATTAAGATGAATCATGAATCATGCAGTATCCATTATCTGTCCTTTTCTTGTGTTTTATAACTCAATCTCTGTTGATGCGAAGCGCTAACACGGCTCGTATACAGTGGCAATTGGAGCGAAGAATTTTATCGCACGATTGCCTCGAACATCGACAAAACATTCTAAAATAACCATAAAAGTGATGAACTTCGAGCTATTCCAACTCCAAAAGCAAGAAACACCACGAGCCAGTGGTCGCCATGAAAAGAAGGCGGCTGGATGAAAGTCGGCGTCGCGGTCGGTGCGAAATCGAAGCGTGAAGTCGCAATTCCCGATCGAAATAATCATTTCACAGGGACACTCTATATATAGTATATCGCGAAAATCTGGGTTAACGAGCGTTCTCCTTCGCTCGAATGTGTCTGTATATACACGATCGCGTGCATGTGTATCGCGAACCGCGCTAATTAACCCCGATGCTACCGTTCGATCTCGACACCAACGGAAACGATATCGCTAGTGTAACGATCACCACCGAGAGCAAAAAGTACGACGATTCCTTTTTCGAAGAGATCCACGGTATGCACAAGACTTCTAAGTATCCACGATGGAAACACCTGCTTGCGATTAGCGTGCATCGTTAATCCGCCATCTGAAGAGGGATCGCGAGTTTCAAAGGTAATTGAGAATCGTACGAAACCGTATGTAACTCAGCCTTGAGTCCAAACGTATCGCAGGTAATTACGAATCTTCTGTGCTTGGACGATTAACTCTCCAAGGACCAGTATATGCGTGTGTTTTTTTTTCTTCGTCTTTGGCTACTCGGTAAACAATTATCTTTTGCTCTATTAGTACGTCCATTAAACGAGCGTCTTGTTCCATCATGCTAAAACTGGGAATGATTACGTCCCATACTGTCTTACTAAATAAGCGCCTGATACTTCATCAGACATTAAATCACAAGCCATAAAATGTACGTATCACTGGTTAGGATTAAATGAGGTCCGTTTCTGGCTGTACGATGTTGGAATTTAACAAGAATGTGGGACGCGGAAGAACGGAAAGCACGATAAACGCTAGGAAGAAAAATCGTCGGGCCGAATGATATTAGGAGAAGTGAATCACGATGGGTGAATCGAAACGGATAGGTCGCCGAGTAACTCGGATCCATCGGTGGCTCCGGTCGAGAAACTCGCGAGATAATGGTCGATTTTTTGCTCGATCCGGAGACACAGGCCGAACCGGGGGCTTTTATTGGGGCTTAAGCTGCCGAGAAAAGAAGGTGGCTCCATGATAGATGCGAGCGAACAACAGCTACATGGGTGGCCCTCCCGTCACACGCGACTTACTAGCCACCCCGAAGACATTCGCCGTGGCTGATATCAGACCGCGCCGCGCCGCGCCGGCTTCGATACGCCCGTCGATCCTAACGACGAATCTGCGTCGACGAAACCTGACGGCCAGGGCGCCGGCGCTTATGTCTCTCGTTTCACTACTCGCCTTCGTAGTTGGCCTGCTCTTGTTACGGTTAGTTTAGATTCTTTGAAATATAGATACATACAGTATTTTGATTCTGATGACTTGGAGCTTTGAATGATACTAATTAGGTTAATGACTAATCGTGTCAAGGTAGTATAAATTGTTTTAAATGTGAAGATTGAGACTGTAAATACGTTGAGAATTCTGTTTTAGTAGAATGGTTCAATTGAAGTCAAGTATATTTTATAACTGGTTCTTTTTTTTACCGAAACTCGATTCTTCAGAAATACTGGTAAATTTGTTACTTTTTTAAAGGATAGAAACTGTGAGTACATTAAGAATCTTGATTCAGTAATATAATTCATTTCGAGTCAAATAATATTACTCATTTATTCATAGTAGAAATTTATCGTTAACAATACTGGTAAATTTCTTATATTTTTGAAAAGCTGAAATTCTGGGAACATTAAGAATTTTATTCTGATAATATGGCTCAATTGGAGACAAGTATATTGTCTAAATGCTTTTTTAGTGGAAGTCCATTATTAAAAGGTACTGGTGAATATATTATCTTGTCTATGGGTTAAAGCTGTGGAAGCATTAACTATCTTATTTTAGTAATATTTTCTAATTTAAATATGTGTGTAGTTGTTTCTAGTGGAATTGGTTGTTAAAAAGTATTAGTGAGTCTTTTGTACTCTTTGATACAAGCCCTACAATGCTCCATTTTATCAAAAATGGCGGACCGCTTCAAAATTTTGTTCGCGTCTAGACAAACTGAATACACGAACGTGTAGGTGTCGATAAATGGACAGCTATAATTTGTAGGGTCAGAGACAAACCTAGAAAGTGGCCCGAGTCGTGACTAAGAACTTTTTTCATAAAAAAAACGAATTGAAGGACAAGATGACAGAAATTTCTTTGAATATGTTGCAGTGAAAGGAGAAGGATCTACGCGTTCAATATGTCTTATATATGTTATATTATATACATTCCTTACCTTGAAAAAACGATAGCGTCATTTTCTTGTCTTCAAAACGTCTAAAAGAATTATCATCTACTCAAAAGTTCAAACAGCGAACATTTTTTCGATGCACTATATCGTAAACGATCGTAAACCGTAAATTAAGAACGAAAGCGAAACATTGCTATAACTGTACCGAAAGCACGTGAAAATGCACGCACGCCATATTTACTGCGTTGGTTTCCTGGCCCCTTTGGCGGACATTTATCTCGCGGACTGTCAAGAAAATTGTAAACAATAAACAGGAGGTTGTAAAAGAGCACTCACCGTTGACTGCGTGACGAATCCATAATCCATGGCTAGCGTTAATCTCCAAGGCATAGTTCTCCTCGATTTAATGACACAACTTTGCACTTTCATCGAATTCGCTCATTACGCACGTTTTCTTTTTGGTGATACTTTAATTGATCGCAACGCCGCATTGTATGCACTGTGTGACGTTGTTATCGACGTATGATAATCGTGTCAGTCACGATTAGTCGAATCGCATCGATATTGTCATGAGATCGAAAAGAATAATACAGTAAATGCATAGTAGATATATTGTAAAATATTGAAGAAAGGTAAGTATTCAGAATATTGATGATGCTAATCCGATCTAGTGTGTTATACTTTTCGTTTAACGTATTATCACAGGTTATTATTGATATTATTCACTTCGATATTATTGAAGGAACGAACACACTAATATATGAGCAGACCGTATCTTGTGACGTACATATGACGGACGATGCGAATCACTATTGGTCGAATCGCAACGATATTATCGCGAGAGTTGCAAAGTGAATATCGAAGATGTTAATGCACTTTATCGTGTTATATTATTTTCCCGGTATTGTCACTTTACGTAAAAGAACATACTGACAGTTACAACAATAAATATCGAAGATGTTAACGCGATCTATTGTATTATATTTTTCACTATTAACCGGGTTACTTCACGAGATCGATAGCATTGTCTTCACGTAAACCGAGACAATGACAATTGTAAAAATGAATATCGAAGATGCTTACGCGATCTATAGCGTTATATCTTTCGTTAGTATTCACGTGTTTGATATCACTTCATGAAAATAAACATATTGATATATGAATCGTTAAGAAGTATCTACTACAATATTATATACTTACTAGTAGACCATATTTTATATTAACGGATAATAAACGATGCAGATTGTAATGATATTACTGCGAGATGGGAGTAAACTTTAATATGGTGTATCGTGTTATACTTTTTCGTTTGATTGGGTGTCGTCATCTCGCGAGTCCACTATTGTTGACTTCACGTAACAAACACACTGATACACGAGTACACTGTATTTCAGGCAAAAGTCTAGGTAATTTGATTGAGGACGCGTTTTGGAACGTTAATTGCGCAGAAGGATGCGCAGAAGGATGCGCAGAACGTCTGTCAGGTGGTAAACGTCGAGAGTGTGCGTAAATTTCTTAATTGCTCAAAATTATTTAAGAGTCTGACAGTTTAATTATTATTTGTCGCAGGTGATTTCAGAAATTTGTTGGAGTTATTTTTGATGCTCGAGGCGGCGGCAGTCGAGGAAAATTTACTACGCTGCGGAGAATCATGTCGGTTGGTCAACAACATAGAATTCACGACGCTAGCGAAATCGACATAACCAATTGATTGGAGATCTAAACATACAAACAACAAGTATGTGACTCATTTTACTTCATAATTTCTTTCTATATCAGATAAGACATATAACCAATAACGACTAGCAACTTAATAATAATAATAGTTTGCTATTTCTTCTTACATCAACTAATACACATAACCATTAATAAGAATATCGCCGTGAATGTGTCTCTTAGACGCCACACTCATCAACTTCATTTTTTATTAATTTCTCAATTTCACTATCCAATATAAATATTCAATCCTCAAGAGATAAATGATTTATTTCTATAAATTAATTTATTATGACAAGATAACATAAACAACAGTAAATTGCAAAATATATTTAAATTTCGTCTCAAATGTGAATGCTATATAGTTGATCACATTTATCACACATGTAATTTTGTAAAATATTGTTATAAATGAAACGTTGATGTAGTAGTCGATGCTATAACGACGTTTATATTACAACACAAGGATATGATTTGACTTCGATTTTAAGAATCGAATAAAATATCATATCTAATGGTATTATTCGAAATGTTTCAGGCAAGATTTAACAAAAGAAGTCGAAAATCACTTGGGAATCTTTGACAGCATCGCTGACGGGATTTCAGAGGTTCCTCAAGATAATGATACTACACAAGCAAGGGGATTTGAAGAAATCTTCTGTTGCCTGTCCTTTCTTCCACGTTTACAAAAACGTTCTACGTATGTATCAATGATTATATATTATATTTTTGCATTATTTTTAAAGGATCATAAAACAAATCCTTAAATTTTACGCCATGTAAATTTTAGTTTAATATTATCGTCCTATAAGCGTATAATCGGAATGCTACTTGTAATTGTTGCATGCAATAATTTTCCTACTTTTCATCTAATACTGGATAATAATACAATAATATAATATAATGGATAATAATGGATTTCATCGATTTGTAAAATAAAAAGGTATGTACGGACTGAAATTTTGCTTACGATAAAATTACCGTAATTATTATCGACGATAGCCTCTATGGGTTGACTATTCAGCAATAAAATCGTTTAAACGAATCATGCATATCCCAAGTGGGATTTAGGTAAATAGATACGTTATTCCGTGCACGCATTAAAGTAAAATGAATTTTGCCGAGGCCTTTTTTAGTAACGTTATGTAAGCCTATTAAGCGGACACTAGACATCCAAGAAAGAAGGACGGAATAATGTTTGAGGAATGCCGAAAAGTAGAGGAAAGGGAGAGGTCACAACTCGACCGGCGGAAGCCACGAGGTAAAAGAGGAGAACGAAGAAGACTCGATGAGACTCTGGTTTTAATTAGTTGGAACCGCCGCGCCGCAAGGGAACAATCGATGGCATTAACGATGTTGCAGATAAGAAATCAGGCTTCTGAACTCTTGTTCGTTATCATTGCCCGAATACTTCTGACGCGAGCCCTCCTCGAATTCTTCTCCATCGAATATGATTAAAATCTTCATAAACACCTGCTACAACTCTGATTAACAAATGCTACGAATGGCCATTTACTGATGACTTCTTCTTTTCTTGAATGAATTGAAATTTCCTCGTTAATTTGTATTCATTAAGGAGGTTTACCTTCTATCTTGTAATTTCTAGTATTTTATTACAGACATAATCGTTGGTTCTTTAGTTTTAAAATGAACAAAAACATAACTTTTTTGGTACTTTATTATAATTCTTCGACGTTAAAATTTTATTGATAATGATATAAAAATTGTTCCAAAACTAATTAATGTTGTAAAGAATGGAACATTTAGTACGCAGTAAAGGAATTAGAATTTCTATTCTATTTCTTGAATTTATCTCGCAGAAATTGTAACGGTAACGATATAGAAATTGCTGTCCAATTAGACAGTGTTTGAAGAGCAGTGCATGTAGCAACGAACGTACTAATCGCAAAGAAATTAGAATTTTTATCTTAAAATAACTTGAGAAGAGTTAAAATGTATAAACTGAGAGAAGAACTTGAGAACCACTGGGCCGTTTACAATTAAGCAATGTAACCGAGTCGCAGACGCGTGGAGCGTCGTGTGTGGTCCCGGGGTTCGAATCCCACCTCTCCCTTTCCACTCTTTCCAACCGGTACCACCACTCTACCACGATGTCCCCACCACTTGAAGGTTCTCTTCAGCTCCTCTCATGTTCGTTTTTCTCTCGTTTCTCCTCTCTTGCTCGCCGCGGCTCTTTACCTTCTACGCTCGATCCCGAAGGTGGTGACTCATCCACCTATAGGCTACCACGGATTCGGGAATTCCTTCTCGTTTCTCGTCGTTCCTCGATCTAACACGAATTTTTGCACAACCGTCCAGATTTCTATCGAGATCACGAATAACAGACCGAAACTGCGGTTCATTAGAACGGCGAACTTGCTCCGTGCAACCCGAAGAAAACTTTTGCATACGCTTTAAGAGGATCTTCTCTTAGATATTTTAAATTGTCTATTATTAAAGATTGGAATACAGTAGAACTTCATTTATCTTATCGATATTTATTTAAATGAATTAATGAAATAGGTAATGGGAGGCGGGGAATTAATGAATCTTTTTTATATAAATTCCAGTTACAATTTGACTTCGACGAATTCAAATAGAACTGGATTTCAAATTGTGATTTTTTGATTAGTGAAGCTGCAAAGTAACTGTACTCCAATTTATCTGCAAACTAATGAAATTAAACAAGCTAATGAAAACGAAACTATTTCAGAATTGGAACTATTGGAAGTAAGGAAGAATTGGAACTAACTGGAAAACAAGACAGCTCCTTATAATTTCCCTGGTCGACCTCTCTATAATCCATAAAAGTTGGCGTGGCTTAGGTTTTAAAACTGGTTCTGATTGTCGAATAGAGCTGTGACGCGCGAGAGTATCCACGGCCAGACATGTTTGGAGTTCGGACTTGTCGAGAGGCGCGGATGCGTAAAGGTGGACATGACACTAGGAAACTAAATACCGGTCGACCGATCCTATGATCCCCGCAGAGAGTTTGACCGCTGTCAAAAAGCATTGGCCCGTCTGGACCTATCTCACTTAATTTTCGTTAAAGTCACCGAATCGGGGATTGGATCGTCGACAGTCCGGAATCGTCTTACCAGTATCTTTCTCTATTCACACTGAGCATCGTGTCGATCGATAGTAACGATGGTTTAGAATAGATTGGACCCGATTTCATAAGAGAAAATCTGTAGACGTAATACGAAAGTGTGTCTCTTAGTGCTGTCACCTTAATACTTTTTCACTTGAATTTGAATACTCGCAAACAATATATGAACAGTTCTTTGTCTATTTGTCATCTTTTTTACATACTGTTCGTAAATATGTTTGTGAAATATGTTATGTGATATCACTTACTGTAAGTGTTCGTCTTAAGAAATCGTTAAATTGTTCATATTTTCATTTGAATTTCTTTTTTTCAGGTTGAACATTGAAGTTCAAATGACGATAAAAACGTACAACTACAGATTTATCCAGAAGATGACAACCTTTCTTATTACTCTCGGATACATCATGGCTTTCATCACCCATATGTTATCGCGGTCCAATTAAAATTCAGATTTACTGGCGGCAGACGTAGTAGCAATATTAAGGATCAGGGAACCATTTCACGAGCGAAGACGACGTTTCGTTCTCCGTAACCCCTTGCACGGTTAATGAAGAGTTCGCTATATCCCGGGATGGCAGCTGACGTTGCATTCATGCATGAGAGTGCCGCGTCCCGGTCATTTGGCCTGTGGTGCGACTAAAAACAAGGCAGCGCTCTCGAGTTTTGTCCCATCGGTGGCCGGTAACGCGCCTTCCATGGGGACCAGCAGCAAAAGAAAATTTCAAAGGGGACCATCGACCCGCTGGCCCACACATCGAGTTGCCAGAACATGCGGATTAAGCCATTAAAGCCTGCTTCAAGCTGTTTCGGGGAAATTCACGAGACAGAGAGTCCGTTATTGTTACTCTGTCACAAGCAAAACTGCTGTCCGTTTGTTTCGATACATGCGACGAATGAACCGTCGTGTCGCCACGAGATTATTATTGAACCTGCACATTGATTCTCTTGCTATAGGGTAAGGGAGAGATATTTGAGTCAAGCTAAGTAATTCGCCAAATTATTTTGTTTACCAACAATTTGTACGACTTACATTTGAAAACACATTATTTGGCTCTTTTTAACTGACGTGATATATCCTTGTTAATTCAAATAGGGCTACCATAGGGTTATTTGAATCATTTTCTCATGCATAAGCATGTATGATATTTTCTCATTCTTTCCTTATTATATTCAAGATTAATCACGTTTCATTTGATTATTCCATGCAAAATTAAAAATTAAATTTTAAGATGTTGAAGATATTGACACAAGTAACCCTAACTTACTACCATACCTAGCTTTAATATTCATAATTCTACTTTTAAGTTATGTTCTGATGTGCATATAACAATCAAGTACTGATGTGTTTGTGTAATCCATCCTTCGGTTTAATTTCGTGATTTTCAGTAAATTTTCAGTAAAATGTCTATGTACATCTTTCATGTACTAAGAGATACCTTGATGTTTATTTGAAATTTCTACGAAGATTCTTATCGACTCCTCAAGCTCGTAAAAGTATGCCTTCGTTTCACCGCGTGAAACGACCAACAAATTACACAACGGTCAGACTTTTACTTGAATGAGCAAAGAACCGCGAGAACAGCGATGGTCAAGCACGCGCGAGACCTTCCACGAGATAATTTATTGGTCAATCAAAATGACGCATGGAGGTATAAGGTGACACGTCAGCGTGCACGGTTGACCATTAATTTTAATACCCGTCACCATCAGATCTCCCGACGCTGCTTTCCACGTTGGCTCCCCACTGACGGTGGAGCGTATCCATCGGCATCGGCTACCGTACGACTAATGCTCCGTTCACTAACGACGATCATCCTTGAAGATCTCGGTCTACCGATCTCTCACGGTCGCCACGAATTATTATCCTTCTCTTAATCCTGCGTAGCTGACCCGCCGCACCACCCTATCGGGTGGCGATTTTAATAATGGAACAAATCGAAGGATTAGGCTTTTTGAATATATAGAAAAAAATTGGGGAACTTAGAGAAACAAACAAATTTTCGAAACGGAGTTAGAGATTAGACACAATCTTTTATGTGCAACTTCCACAAAATAACAGCAAAAGAAATTATCGTGAATATAATACACTGATAAAGAGACAAGAGGATAACGAAGAAAAACGAAAAGCGGAATAAATCAATAAATACCTACAATCTTGTGAAAAATCATGCAATTAAGATACGATCAGACGAAAGCTGCGAGCTGCCGTCCGAATATATCAATGGTACGCCAAGAACGCGTCGAGAGGTATGCAAGCACGGTAAGTGCAACGTCGATTGATAGCGCGCGTCCCCTTATCTATAAACCATTTTCACTTTTTTCCGTTTCTCTAGGTGCTTATCTGGTGTCCGAGGCGCGCAACTAGAGAATTCTAGGACGTTATTTACGGCTGATTAACAGGCTCAATAATTCCCTTCCGCATTACTTTATTGAGTCCCATGGCCCACGCGCGATTTGCCTGCGATTTATGACGCAAGATAAACCGATACCACTGCCTCCTGATCGGCTCGTTCTATTGGGCTGATCTCGTATGTAAACAGAGGCCGAACCAAACTGACCGGTAATCTCCGACGAATTTGCATCTGGTTCTTTTTCTAAACAGTTCGAGCGAACCAGGTAATATGCAGCGTGTTGCATGCATAAAAGGGAAACACGCATACGTTGAAACAACGAAACAAAATTGTCTTTCACGAGGTTCAAATCGTGCGATTCTCGTGAAACGGAAACCATTTGTTTCCCAACGATTCAGGGATTATTCCAGCTGCATCTGTTTAACGCGCATCATCGACGTTTCAATCGGTAACACCAGCATCTACGGTCAACATCTAATCCCTATTCGTTTCATCGACTATTCCAAAGTGGCGGAGTATACGTCAACGTGAAATGAATCACGGTATGCTGATGGTTCTCGAGACGGATGCATAATTTCGAGGCTTGAAGCTCCCAAGGCTGGTTCCTGTCCCCGCCGCGTTACAGAAGGCGCACACGGTTGCTCAGGAATGTCGAACGGGTCGGTCACAGGGTTAATGTTTGCTGCCTCCTCACGTGCCTCTAACTTTTCTCCCTGGTTGTATCTCATTTGTAAAGATTCCGGGACAAAGGAGCCACCAAGAACCGTTTGTGTGGCTTCGCGGCTCGCTTCACCCATAAGTAGTCTCGACTTGGGCCATGTACTCCTGCCGGACAGACAGAAGCGCGAGTCTGTCAAGTGGCGCGATTATAATCTGACAGGGACGTATCGGTTGCCGGCCTTTCTTCCCGATTCCGAGCAATCGACAATATATTTTGGAGTCAAGCGTTACTAGGCGCCGAACATCGAATATTTCCATGACTTACAAGTGACGTATCGCATTACAAACAGGGCCAAATATTTATTTTTACGTATACATCGCATGCGAAGGACATACTGCACGAAATATTTGTTATTGCATATTATGATTTACACTCACTTTAAGGTTGTCAAGTTTAATTATAATGCCTTATTTCAGAATGTACGTGTAAGTAATCGAATTTATGAGAATCGATGGAGTTGAGCCTACGTTTGATGTTCACCAGATATCGTTTAAATTCAACTGATGAAATATTACGGGATGGTTCAGGTACTCAACTTCTGTCCGTCTCCGACCATCAGTTCTTGTAAAAAGAAATAATTGTCGCTTATTAGTCATCACGACGTCGGCATCGGTACGTTAACGTCGTCTATTACTTACCAGGTACGTTCCCGAAAGCGAGGCTGATCCTTCGGACATCCTGGACGATCCTCGGCCGACAACCTTTGGGCTCCATTATCGAAAAAGAAAAATGGGCACTCCAATACACGAAGAAACCAATGAAATTATTTATTCTCCAACGTCGACAAACTCTATCTTCGATCTTCTTATTTCCGACCCTAACGATGGCTATCTAACTTCAACATGATTTCAACTTTTCATCGGTAAGTTGACTTAAAAGCTTCGACTCTACTATGAATTTTCAATTTTCAGGGACAAATTCGTACAAACGTCGCGAGTTTCTCATACTTGTAAGGATCGTCTACGACCTATCTTCTGAACGATTCGTGGGAGAGACGTAACAAGGGAGGTTGGAACAACGCTAGCGGAGGTTAAATGATGTATAAAGTGCGTTAACCGACACCACTCACCGTGCAACACACGCATATCGCGTTCACGGTATAAACGTAGGCGTGGCTGGTTTGATATCAACGATGGCCACCTTTCGACTGTAAATCAATCGATATCACGCCGGCAGGAGGGGCTTTTCATAGGGTTTGCACGGGCCTGAAATACGACTCGAGGGTGGAAGCATGCGCCAAATGCTGAATGTGAATCGACCCGCCCCGTAACCTTTTATCCCGACACCGATCGCCTCTCGCCACTGTCTTTCTCTCTCGCCTACCCACCGGTTCGCCAGTGTCGCGCCGATAAATTTCGATAAACATCTGGCTCGATTGATTCCGTTCCCGGTGTTAATTAGCTCGCGTCTAGTACCGCTTTCACAGCATCGATCGATTCCGCCGCGTTAATGTCTTGAGATCGCGATCACCTTGTCTCTCGTTTCTTCTTTAGAGATCTTTTAATTGGATTGTTTATCGAGATTGTTTGCTCTCTTTCATTTCTTTTCTTATTTTTTCCTCATTAAGGTGGATTTTCAGTTTCCTTTCCCATTTATGAACGGAAATACTTTTATTTCCTTTTATTAATCATAGTTTACTTAAGTAAATAGTTGGAACTTTGTAGAATTATAATTATATTATTAGGAACTCTATACAATACTCGATGTTTGTATCTTTGATTAATAATTATTGATACCACTTATTAAAAAACTGAAATGTTATTTCAATATGCACAGATATGTAAACTTGGAGTATACAATTTTTATGAAATACTATTCCGAGATTAAATTTTGACCAGGATCGATTCTTGATGGTTTACAACGAGGATTTTAATGCAACTTAACTCTTCAATGGGACCTAATTTTGAGACAGTAGATTGACTGCTGAGGAAACTAGTGAATTATTGAACTTTAATGTTGACATCATCTATCGGAGTACGTTTAAAGTACAATTGTTAGTTTTGTCTTTAGCCTAGTGTAATTCAGTTCTTGAAAAGAATTTTTAAGTTTAATATGCCCCGTATCTATAAGCAAACATCAAATTCCAAGTTTCAGTATATTGCTATCTCATGCAAAGTCGAAGCCTTTGATCTTGTAAAAAAGGGCCGTATCTTATTCGCTTATTAGAAACGGAACCGCCGTTAATTACTTGGATAATTCGGTTCATTGGTGCCGCGTAATTATTTAATCGACTATTTATCAGTCCGCAGCATCGTCGGTGTATTTGTACAAACGTTTGAATAAGGTTTATCCTGACCGGCGACTAAACCATACAATCAAGGAATTATCTAGGAGCAAAGGAACAGGATGGATGTTGAAGATAGAACAAGTATACGTTGATACGTGGCTCATGATAGTGGGAATATTTAATTCGATCTTTAAATAATTCTTACAAGGTATAAGTGCCCGATATTGTATCGAGCCTTCCGTATTAGCATAGGTAAATAAATAACTAAGTTATTTTTAAACAGTCTATCGAGACGACGTTCTCGCTAAGTTGCACTTTATTTACACGACAATTTATATCAATCTTTTTTATATATACATATACGTATATATATGTATATTTATATATATATACCTATACATATACGTTGTTTCTATTTACTCCTCTTCATACATACATATATGTATAATGTTTTCTATTGCACGTCGCAATCGTACGATATCTTACATTTTTACAATAAATTAACGAAACGAAACTAGGACTTTACATTTTCACTCAATCTCATGCAAACTTCCTCTCATACAAACTTGTCACACTTGTCCTTGGTTAAAGTATCTTCATTCTCTCTTTATCTCTCCCCCGAATACTGGTTCCTTTATCAGAGAACGATGACTTCTATTCGTTTTTTTTCGATCTACTGTGTTCGCGAGAAAACTGTACAAATGGCACTGTACAACCCATTTCACCATGATTTACACGATTCGCGTGTAATCACGACGATCGATCGATTACTCCGTTCATTCCCCTGGTTCTAAATACGACATTTTTATTCGTGATATAGGAACGTACGTGCTAATTCCTCCCTTACAAACGATGTTGAATGATAGCTATCGTTGCGATCGCCGCGCGCACGACCACCATCATTCGATTCATAACGCCGGTAACTCATGAGCTTTCCTGTCGCAGGATACGTCGCGTCGCGGTTTTATCGGTCTCAAGTTAAATGGGAAGCTCTAAGACAACGAATTACAAAAATTCGTTCAGCAGTCGCTTAAATATTCGGTCGGTGGCATTGAATTTTTTTTCCACGAAATAAATATCCGAATTTTTAAATATAGAAGAAACAAAGGCAACCGACTAAGTTAATCTTAATTTGACTATGTAATCATTTTCGAATTTCAGGAAATCGATAATAGAATGTAGATGTACAATCTTTGGAGCGCAAGTGGCTGTGGTCTCGATGACGATCTTTCGTACAAAATTTACGGGAGGAACGTTAAATTATCTAAGACTAACGCATTCATACAACCACTCCCGTTTTCACGGTTCACCAGATATGTTATCAACGACACGTTTTCATTCTCTCGCGATCGACATTCGACGCGAGAAATGAGAGTTCTTACAAGATCTCGAAACGTCGAACGAGCTCGTCGATAAGTTTAGCTTCAATTATTCGATCGATCCTATTGTCGTCATTTCGCTTGGAGTTCCGCCGCTTGTTCCTCTTCCTCTTTCGTTAGAGGCACCGTCGAATGATTGTAAAGACCCTGGGCCATCAGCTGAAGGGCGAGAGGATTCTTCTGGCCACTGGCCTTCTTGATCTTCGCCCTCTTGTTCTGAAACCAGATCTTGATCTGCGCCTCGTTCAAACCCAAATCCCTCGAGAGTTGTTGCCTCCTTCGTTCGGTCAGGTATCGATTCTCCGCGAACTCCCTCTTCAGCCTGGCCAATTGTTCGCCACTGAACGCGGTCCGCGGACGCTTTTCCTCGGGTGTGCCGCCATTGCCACGGCCGTCCGACCTCTTCACCCTCCTCGTTCGTGGACCTGCAACACGGTAGGATCCTATCGTCAGCTGATATCTGTCGAAGTGGCTGAAGAATTGGGATTATTGCGGTTAGGAGATTTAAATGTATAAGAAAGAAATGTTAATATAACAGTATTATAATTTAATATAAATCTAAGAAGCTAAGATAAGTTAAGTTTTTGTTTTTTTTGTTTAACGATTAAAGAATGTATTTATGTATCATCTTTTAACCAGGTGTCGACCAGTGGTGGAAATTGGTTCGCGTCTTCTTTGTAAATTAAACATTTCTTCCTTCAAATTTGAATAATTTTTAAAAGAAAAATGCATTAATAAGTACACATTCTCTTGTACAATCACGAACATAGGTCGTAGAAATTTTCATTATTAATGAGAGTACAATGTACCCTAAAATATGAGTCTAAAAATGTTAGAGATAAATGTTACGTATACAAATATTTATATACGTGAGATGTAGCTTTCGGGTCAGAAGCAGAAGGTAGACCGAAACAATAGATTCTACGCCTGATCATTGAAGTCAAGCGTCACTTGCCAGGGTTAACATTAGAATGACCGATCATATTTCACGATGAAGACGAAATATAATTAGGACAGTTCTTCATCTGTCCACTGCTCTCGTACACAGTTTGGAAAAGAACTGAATAAGAAACCAAGATACGAACTGATTGAAATAACAATAAATAACATAAATGGCGGTAAAAGGTTCCATTGTATTGTAAAAGATAGAGGAGTAGAAGACAATTCAAATCATGTTGTTGTTTTGCCTCGGAGTATCAAGATCGTTAGGATACATGTAACGTAAGAATAAATAAGCTGCAGGCAAAACAACGTCACTGCTACGTGCAACCGTCGAACGAAGACGAATTTGAATTTTCCGGCTCTCCCCCGACCAGTATAAATAAACGGACGCAACCAAAAAGAGTTCAGTATCGACGAGTTATCTGAGAGTTATCAAGAGTTATCTACCGAGTTATCGACGAGTATAGGCTTATTCACTGTACGAGCGTCTCAGCCAATATAGTCTGTATACTAATTTATTATTTTTAAATATATTCAACGGTTTCAACAACAAACAATAACATTTAATAAATGTAGTAAAAGGTTCTATTCTTCAAAAGATTTCCAACAAAGTACATGTCCAAGGAAAGGAATATTTTCGTGCAATTACAAATAGCTGAGACTCGCTTCTGTTAGAAATGACCATCGACCTTCGCATCCCTCTAAACTCTAAATCGTTCCCTCGAACAAAGGTCTGCCCAACAAACGCTAAGGGTACATAAAGCAATCAAAAATTAGCCTTACATAACGATTCATAATGGTGTTTCGCGGTCGAAGAGAACATTGATTCAACAAGTTTACGCGCCAATAAATCTGAGAAATTAACGAACCGGCGCGGCGGCATCGTGCGCGCACGCTTAGTGACAAACTTTACGACAACTTTTATTGTCTAGTCGGTCTTAACTGCTATTCCCTGGCTATTCGTGTACAACTCTACCATAACGAGAGAGGTTCGTTCGGAAGGAGGCCTCACCTCCCGGACGAAATAAACGTCCGTTCAAGACGAGAGGAATAGTTGGTCCACGAGGCTGAGTCTTTCTCTTCGTAGACGGTCCTCCTCGCCGTTTATCGTCGTCCGGCGAAGCTGCTAGAAGTCCTTCACGCACTCTGCACCACTGGTTATGCGAAGTTAACAGAGACAACTTAATCGTAAATCAAACGCGTTATTGTTGTTATATTCCAAAGCGAACTACCAACATTATTGGCTGATGGCTTGAGATATTCTTTGGTGAAGGAGATAAGAAATTATTTTTTCCTCTACGCTGATTATTTGTTTTTGAATTAACGCAATTTTGCGCGTTACTTTCGCTTTCGATGCAATTTATTGGTAGCTGGCTTTATCAATGCAATAAGACTGGAATAGTTGTAATCATCGAATTCAACACGAATACAAAGGTATTTCTATATAATATATATATAAGAAGTCAATTATTTTTCATTTATGTTAAATAATGCTGATTATTTATCGTGTTTTAGAGTTGACGCGACAGCAACTGGAATACAAGTTGGGAAAATAAGCGAATAAATTTTCTTGCTCCAGAGTTTCTTTTGTTTTCGATGCAATTTATTGGTCAGAAGCTTGAACAATCCAATAAGACGCTGCAACTACAATATATAGGCGTTACCATGCTTTTCGAATGCAAGAAGGACGCAAGAGTGGTTCTTCTGGACGTTAATAACTCGTTATAAATATCGTAATGGTTGCCACCTTGCATGCATGTATATGTACACCGAGAAAGCTTTTATTAATCTTCTAGGCGGAGCATCAAGATACAATCTAGAATGATTATTATACGAAACGACTTATTGTTCCGGATCAGCTCTTGAAAAAATACGCATCCATCGAAAGAGTATCAATTTCTTCTAAACGCTGCACTTGATCCTATTTGATCGAAGGAACTGGAAAATTGCCAGTTCGGAATATGAAGTTTTGAATGAAGAATCATAATTAGAAGAACGGCTTGCTATGTGCTTATACAAATCTCAACAATTTACCAATCCCACCAACCACAGCGGTTATTAGTATTCATGATTCTAGGCGTGGAAACTAACAAACGGACGAAGATTATTACTTTTCAGATTCTCGACCGTTACCCAGGATATTTAAGATCGATTATTTTTAGAATTGCAGAAGATGACTATGATACGCTAGAACTTCCTTTTCATTAGTGCAAATATTTTCTCGTACGTTGCTATACTTATAAAATGAGTAATTTTTTACTTTTAATTCTAGTACATGGAAATTTTCAATTCTTAATTGCTTCGTGGATTCTTTCATAATGGAATGTTCTCGTTTCAAGCGGTTGAAAAAGATATGTTCTTAATTTTCTGTATTTGATTTCAATAACAAATGAATAACAAAATTAGAATAATTTCAAGAAAGCGATGTATCATTTGGACAAGATAAAATTTCCATGATAAAAATCATATTTTTACTTTTCATACGTGCTGTGTTTTGCCAAAATACATTTTTCTTGTTTTGTTCTAGTGGATTATATCGACGTTTATATGAATTCTAATTATATTTAATTTTCCTATTTCGGATGGATAGAATAATATAAATCGTGGGAGACCATCAGACTGACACACTGTGAAAAACATGTAATAAATTAAATAGTGCTAAAGATAGTTGTATAAAAATTATGCTGTATTTTCTCGAGGTATGACCGTATATTTACAAAAAATTTCAATTCCATCGATCTACGATTACTTAACAATTTTCCATTTTATAGATCGCTCAAAAAATAACATCTTGAAATGCTGCCTTAAGGGAGCTTCCGGCGAAACACAAAAATTTCTAGAACGCTGAAAACGAGCGATCGAGAAAGCGACAGGGCAGCAGCCAGTTTCTTGTACTACTGCTCAGAAATGACTGAGGTAACGAACGGTCGGCAGTCTAATTACTTAAGCGAAGTAGTCTCGTTGTCAGTGGCAGGAAAGAGGCATTCAGGAACCCACTTCTCGCTCTCTCGACCCTCGTTCCGCTTCTCGACTTCTCTCTGTCTCGCACCATTGCACGCTTTCCATTTAAGGAACAACCTCCCCCTCTTCTCAACAGCTGTAGGCGTCTCGAGGGGTAAAACCAATAACGCTAAGACGTCCTCGAGAGAGTGAGTACATCCCCGAAAGTACCTCGCATACCGAGGACGTGCGGCCGCGAACGAACACTAATTTCCTCTCGACCTATCCTTGAGTTAGACGTCAGCTACCGACCTGGCTGCGCCTCGCTCTCCTCGTCGCGTCGTTTCTCTTCAACGCTGCCGTCCTTGATTAACGCCGCGAGTCATTGTCAGTTCTCGTCACCTGTCGTCGTTGTCGTGTTTCCAGCGGAACGACAGTTTATCTTGCGACGACGATTCCCTTTTTTAGGGAAAATGAGAGTTATTGAATCGTTTGTAAGGGAATAATATGATAGTTTATATTGCTGGAATATTTTTATTATAATTGTTCATAGAGTTAAATAACCGGCAACAGAGAGAGATGCGCTACTGAACAAATTTAAAAAACAATATAACATAATTTTAAAAAAATTGAATTGAATTAAGACAGTCCAAAGATAAAATAAGATAAGATATAGACATTGTTTGGATTGCAGGTCGAATGAGGGTAGTATGATAGGATAAGGGAAAATTAGTCACTGTATGGCAATCCGTTACAATTAATTTTCATTACACATTCACTTGTACATAAGATTATTTTAAGTTTAAATGTTTTACAATTTCTAATTTAGCATTGCGTGGTACGCAATTTCAGTCTGCTAACGTGCTTTTACCGTTACAAAACAGAATTGTTTCTTGATAAACAATTCAATCTAAGAATTTATGAATTGAAGGACAAGCGAGCATCGTACAAATCTTGCCTCTGTGTCACCTGATAGTCATCTTTCCAATTACTCATGCTACAAGAAATAGCCATTGAACTCTGCTTCACTTATTACACTTGTGTCGAAGAAAAATATACTAGCAGATAAAATGGATTATAATATAAATCACAGAAGAAACAAGATAAGGTAATTGAATCGTATCAAATATTTAAACGTATTTCTCGCACAAGAAGAATAATGGCGCGCTGATTGGTTTTTGCTTTCTGTCCAGGTTCGTAGGGACGCGTCTTCAACTATTCGCTTCTTGCTCAGAATTTTACCGATGTAATTCAATTGACGGAAAAACTCGTCGGATCGAGAACAATTAAACCGCTTCATCATTGTCCTGTCATCCAGGCGACGAAGCCGAGAGCGTTTTGTCGCTGAAGGACGACTAGTCGTTTCGTACCATCATCCACTCGATTCCATCCTCGAAACGCAGCTACACCAATACATATATCCCTCTGTGTCTCGCCCCTGCCTCTCGCAGAAAGAACAGAGTTTCCCCTGAACCAACGTTCAGCCTTTGCGTAACAAATCGTAGAAACCGTCGGGATCGTTCTCTTTCAGTTTTGCTGGTTGGCTCGCTGGTCACGTTGCTTTTAATTGTAGCTGGTATCGGCGGTG